ACACATTTACCTAAGAAACATAAAGCTTATCTCTGCAAGATTAAACGCGATTACCTTTTTTATGTCTGATTTAACAATATAAGGGCCATTACGGATTATATGTAGCACATTTTGAGGGCATTGACTGAACTCATGGTTATTAAGAGGTCATATACATGTCTGTACGTGTTAAATACGACATCACTATTCATAATGATATAAACATGAACACTACTCTTTTATGTTTTATATGCTTATGTTGCTGACTATTTTGTGGGTTTTTTTTTAATGTTGGTGTTTTTATCTCATCCTATGCGCTGATTCAATTAAAGATACATGTCAATAAAAGTATCAAACTAACTTTTATATACATATTATTAGTTCTTTTCTTTTAAACTATCACATTTATTCTTCAGATTTTATAGATACAAAAAAATGAAAGTACGAAAAGTCACCTAGATTTTATGTGAACTGGTTGGAACTTGTAGCGTTTCAAAGCATCTAAGGGCAATGGGATTACGTAAAGCTGTCTGTAAAGTTGATAATGTATGTAAGTGGATAATTCTATATCAATAGGTTAATTATATATTAATACAGGGTCATTTTTTCCCCTTTAAGATGTGAACAGCTTGCATAAAGATAAGTTTGAAAGAGACGAGGCCAAGGAAGTTGTACCGTAGAAATAGCGCCATGATATTAATGTCTAATATATTGATTCAAATCTTTATTCGTCGAAAATTGAGGAAATATACGAGTATATAATTATATAAAGATTTTCTTCACCAGATGTATTGAAAAGTTCGTCTTGTAAATTAATGAAGGCACCTTTAATACAAAGGCTACGAGGGTGTGTGACGTCATTGATGACCTCATTTTAATATTATATTAATAAAAAATGTATTTGCCGACATTTATCGTTACTGCAAGCGGTGAGTGCCTAAGACAGGCTCAGATTTATTTACTTGCTTTATTTATGTGAAGAAATTAAAGTTTAGTCATCCATCTCGTTTGATAAAATGATTTTAAAAGTAAATTGCCAATACTATGTATATGTTAGTGTTCATCCGTGCTGTTCTACAAAATTAGAAACTTCGACGGGAGCGATAGCGACAGGAGATTTTTTCTAATTTCTGTAGAACAGCACGGATGAATACTAACATACTTAGTGTCAAGCTTTATTTGGCCTCATTATTTTTCACTTAATTACGTCACTACGCGGCTCTGTGAAGTACTATGAAAAATAGAAGGCGACTATGGACGGAATTCATGGAATTCGAAATAGTATCGACTTTTGTTCTCCTATTAAAATTAACACGTACAATTTTTAAGAAATACAGCGTTTTCATTGGATGTCAAATAAAACTGGACACTAAGAAACATTTCTGACCAATAAAATGTTTCCATTGGTAAAAAATGCTTGTGATAAGGATGTATCCGGTAAGTTTGTATACATTTCTAATAATATTCCTTAAATAAAGTGAATTGGTCTGTAATGGAAGGTCTCTTAAGCCATAAATAATAACTTTTTATGACCTTTTGCACCATACATGACAACCAACCAAGGACGAATTCGAACTATACATGGATGTTGCTTGTGGGCGTAAGATACAAGGTCCGATATATATCTTTAAAGGTAATAAACTGTTACATCATATAAATGTTTAAACTAAATCACCTAAACTCTCCACAGGTATACTTCCCGACGAAGACCTTTGAGTCAAAACGTTGTGTTTTTTAATAAAACAATACAATTTCATGTTTAAACTGATTTCATTTGAATAATGTCAAGAAATATTTTATAATAGTATAAAAAGATACACTTCTATTGTTGTTTGTATCGATATACGCAAGTTAGTAAGTACATTTAATTACAATGACATTGTGTTTTGTACAATATAGGAAAAGTACATATTACAAAGTACAACACCCAGTCACATAATTACGAATGAGACTGATTTATATAGATAACAACATTATTGAAACCAATGTATATGAACAAACTAAATCTATACTTTACGTATAACACATACTAGTTTTAGATATTAATCTGGTAATAATATCAACCGCCACAGGACAAATTACGGGCCTCTCCGTTAATACAAAGACACTATAAAAGTAACAAAGCTGTCAATGTTCTCATTCATTCGGAAATAGTCAGATAGAAAAATCAGTTAACATCATGAAGATTTTACTTTGTTTGTTTCTTGTGATTGTATCCATCTCTGTTACCTATGGAGCAACATCATTCGGTGAAATACAGACAGAGGAAGGTTAGCAATTTTTAAAAAAAATATTTTATATAATTAATAGAACATTCTATGTCAAATCAAGCCTGCAACATTTCAAACATTTCTTGTCGTCTTAGGCGATTTAAGCATTACCATTTTATATGCCAAGTAATAGCATGGGTTCCGTTCATTTAGTCTTTGTGTTTTTATCATAAAATTAAATTGATCACTTGATAGTAATCGAGAATATCTGGTATTAAGTTAATTTGGTTATTTTGCTACGCACACCCATATTTATCTTACTTATAAGATATAGAAGTTTAGAGGTAATTTATTTCTAAAAAGTGTTAATATTTTTAAATTTTCAAATATATGCTTTATCATTTGGAAAGGATTTTCATAATTAAACAGCGAAATATTTGCCAAATATCTTTTCAATCTAGTTTAACTATATATTGGTGAATATATCTCATGTATAAAAATTTCATCATTTTTACAGTTTATGGTAGAACAGTCAAGTTCTGTGTTTACAAGGGTCTCCGAATGCTACCTAAATCTTCTTTCATAGATTATGATACATGTTCCAGATGTACATGTAAAAAGACTGGCTTGTCCTGTGCAACGTGAGTGAGATATGTTTTTACATATTATTACAGAATATTTAGCTACTATACCTTAAAACGAAACGTCCATGTACAATGGAATTAATGTAAAACACGAGAAACAAGAAAGTACAAGCTATATAGATTTGTACATGTATTGTATTGTAACCAGCATTGACCAATTTATTGAACTACATCCACATTCTAAAGTGTGATGGATCTACTGATATAATTTCCAAATCAAAACAAATCAAAACCAAAGTCGGCGGCCTATGTCCAGAAAAATACTTACTAGCTCAGATGAGAGTGATCGAAATAACATTTTGAAAAAGCAAAACAAAAAAACCGTTATGGTCTTCAAACATTCACAAAACGTCAACAATGCTGTTACATTAGTAGGTGACCATACAATTGATTATTTAAAATAAATCGTTAAAACAATAAAATTACAAGGTATCTCTGTGTCTAACTATTATACAATTTTAAAACGTGAAATTCAACACAAAAATAAAAAATAACTTACAAATGTTACACATGTTACAAACGTATAATCAACACTAATTAATAAATGAATAAACTAATTCATGCACGCCAAGATGATGGTACTCGTATCAGTAACGTCTCATTTTTTAACGTAGATAAAAATGCATTGATTAAAATCTTTTGTAAACTCTGTTAACATCCGTTAACAAAGCCAGAAGTGATATTTCATTTCCTTAGTGTTTTATATGTCCTCTAAATTCTGTTTAAACATGAATGTATATGTAGTAAAGTATGTAATATATTTACAATTTATATTTATTTACAGTTTATCAACTGCATTCAGCGTTAACTATCCGGATGACTCCAAGTGTGATAATGTAAGAATAGGATGTGTTAACAGGTGGGTGATGAAAGATAATACGAAGGAAAGGTGCCCGAAGCCACTCATACCGACAGAGATATCTATGGTAGGAAAGTAATTGACAGAAAAATCACCGTGGAATTCAATAAATTTTGAAAACATTGTTAATATAATGTAATAAATCATGTTACATGTGATATATTGTGTATACTCATTTTTTCATTAGTAATGTTTTTAAATTTGTGTTCATATTTGGTTTAGCCAAAAAGTAATGACGTACTTTTGTCACAAATAGGTTAATTGGACTGAAATATATGATTGGTATGCGATGCAATTTTAGGTTTCTTTTACGTATTCAATCAGATTTTTGCGAATTAGGTTTCTTTCAAAAGTACATGTATTCACTCATATTCTTGTATATGAGCTCAGTATATTACTTATATATAATGGTAAACGTGAACGGCTTTCATAACTGTTTACCTTTATATTTCGATTTCTGTATTTGCTGTCCCTCTCGAAATTATCGTTTGTTTATCGTTCTTAACTAATTGTTATCGGAAGACTGAGCAAACCTTATCAAATGCATCACAAGTTTATAATACCACAATATTTTATAAAGAGTTAACATTGTTTTTTTTTTTAAATCTTCATTTAGTGCTTCCTGCAGCAGTGTACACTATTTTTTCTTAACAAGTTATTCATGTGATTAAATCATTATCAACACTTTTGTAGCATAGCAAAGTAGGAATTAATTTGTAACTATATTTACAATTATTGTAAATTTATAGATAAAACTTAATATTTTGAAGTTCGTCCAATTTTCTTGCAAAATAATGGTGCCCGACCAAGTTAGTTTGTACATGTAATAATTACAGAATGACAGACTATTCGCTTTTACTGCTCTGAAAGGCATTTGGGCATATTGAAGTATCCTATTGCATTATGTGATAGATTTGTTTCGGACATGGTAACACCCCGTCTCCCTAAGTCTACCAAAGGACTCAGTGGGACATTCGCGTGAATTCCCAACTACCTACTACAAGGTAGTTGGTAATCCGGATATTGCATACATTTTCTCAGATAACATAAAGTATTTTTCTTAAAAGAAATCATCACAGATAGATAAATCCATTACATTTGTTCTAGATTCTTTTGTTTCTTTTATCTTGAGAGGAATAAATGCAATATTCGAATTACCAACTATCTTGAAGTACAAAGTTGGGGACTTGCATGAACAGCAATACGAGTCCCCTGGTACACATGGGGAGACGTGGCTGTTACCTTGTTGAGAACAGACGTTTGTGGTTATTTTTATACGTTATATTTATATGACAAAGTACTAGTAATCTGGTGATATCTGCAACATCAGAATAACCAACTATCGTCTGGTTGGTAGTTTGGGATTCATGCAAAACACCAACTGAGTCCCCTCGTGAATGTAGAGAGAAGTGGATGATACCATGTTGTACATTTATCTTGTTATTTACCTTACATTTAATTCGGAAAAATACATTTTGTTTTGAAAGGTTCAAATAACAAATTACTTTCTGGTAGGTGATTTAGGAATTCACACGTATAACCAACTATGTTCAGAATGTGTTCAGAATAAATGTATGTAGTATTCTAACATTTCGTTCGTATCTAAGTGGATCGAAATACCACCTTCAGGCTGCTAAATAGTTGAAAATGACGAATAGCTAGCTAATAGGTAGTTAGTTATTCGAATATCCAACTACTAACTACCAACTAACTACCAAATTGACGTGCAACAAATACAACTTCCTTCTTTTAAACAAGCATGAAATAATCAAATTTAATGCACGATTTATTCATTAGTCAGAATACTTGTAGAAAAGGAGTAGTTTTCTCTAGATATCAATACATTTAATTGTGCGTTGTGATTCAGAGGACAAAAAATTCAACACTGATTACAAAAATATCAAGAGGATATTTTTTCGTTTGAGTGAAATTATGGAATACATTTTCACGAAACATGATAAAATTCCAAATATTTTCACGAGCCTGGACAGCGAGTGTTATATGTTCAATTTAATCATGTAAAACGAAAGTAAAGCAAAACGAAATAATAACCTTTTAATTTAATTTAACCGTCAAGAATATTTTATTTATTTTCATGGCAAAACAGAACACAGACTTTAGATTATTATTTTGGATGCAATCAATTATCATCTAAGAATAATTTATTTTTTTGTGTTTTTGTTTCAATTTATATGTTCACTGACTCGATCAAACTTTGAACTTACGTTTATTTTTTTTTACATTTTAAAGAATAATTGATCAGCAGTCGCGGTCACTATAGACAGATGTAATTATAGCATATTGCCGCTAAATAGATCTATAGGCTTTGACAACTGTCCCTCTTACCCTAACATTTTCTATCTAATATAGAACATTGTTATACTTTCATTGTTTGTGAATACATTATTGTTCCTTACAGTCCAGCCCAATTATTGACTACTTAACCACTTTCAAGCTTTACAGGCGGAAGATGACCTCACGTTTAATACCGTGCATTAGTATAGCCGCTCAAACAGGTACCTGAGTAGAATCGTCAATGTTTCATAAGCTAGCCGAATAGCTTCCTGGCATGAAATATTTCAAAATCCGTGTCGGATTTGAACCTACAGCGATGATTGGTTTATAACGTTATACGTATTAACAGTCTCTTCTCTTCTTAATTATTTTTATTTTTAAATCACGTACTATGCTATAATAAAAAATGAACAAATGAATTGGATGAAATAATATTATCAAAGTCACATAAATTTGGCAACAAGAAATTGTAATAAAATTATTTCTTGACATTGATATGGTTTTGTAGCCTATGATTTCTAAAGACTTATATGTTATATGATGATCCGTCATATTTCCCTTTATTTGTACGGTATTAACGGATTATTCATCTACATAAAAGTACCCTTGAGACAAAATAAAAACGAAAACTGAGGTCATACAATTTCCCGACGTTTAACCTCTACATAAATATTTAAAGACATCTTCTAGATACAAGCAAATCCGTTGAGTTTTCATGTTAACTATGAAACAATGTTAAAAATGCTTGGATGTGCATGATTTGAAAAATGTAATACGCCTATGCCACTTTATTTGTATTAAATAAATATCTGCATTTAATGTACCAGAAATCGACCCTGTTCTTTTTACAGAAACGACATACTTACGACCAGTTCATGATAATTAAAGGTTCATTTTACAAATGAACCAAGTGGTATTTATGTGTTGCTGAGTAAATATGGAGCTACACATACAATCTTGTACTTGCATGTTTTATATGCTACATAAGATGAAAAGGTGATATGAATAAATATATGTTAAAGGTAACAGCTTGTATGGTATTATCGCTATTAATTTGATTATTTCTTAAAACAGCCATGCAAGAACAGAACAGGTCGAAATATCCGGCTTCTATAGATGCATAGTATCTTGTTAAAATGTATAAAACAACAAAGTTTGTCTATGTTAAAATAAGATTTACATGCAACTAAATTAGAATTTTCAACATAAGAATTCTATTTTCTATTCTGAGAACAATAATATACAGTAGGCTCCAGATTTATGGACAGTACTTACCCACTTTACCAACTGATTTTGCTAAAGAACAAGAAACACCTTCAGAATGTAACTATCGTCAGATCATTTGAAACAATTATTTTGTTATTCTATACGTTTCATTTAATTAGTGTGAACATTTTTAGTATTTATAGCAAAGTAATAGCAGTGCCTGGTATGGAAATTTGAACAAGATTTGTCCGTAAGATAGCTCAGGGCTTGATAGGAAGACAAGGGACATAATAGTGTAAAAAGGTAACTCAGATATATGGGGCCTGTGATCATCATGTTAGATAATCACAGATAAAATGTGTGTGAGGAATCAACAAATACCATTAAGTAGTTTTGGAGATATCAACTTGCTCGCAATAACTTACCCGAAGTGTGACTGCGACACCGACGTCGGAGTGAGTACAATACAGCACTCCCTGTTCTTCGAATAGCCAAGCTTAAAATGCCTCAATCATTTCAAATATGAAGTATGTTTTTTAAAAAAAAAAAAAAAAAAGATACTCGGCTGAAGTAAAACTGAACATGAAACAAAAAAATCGAGAAAATATGCTACGACAATTTTTAAAAAAATCTTTTGTCGATTGTTTCATGCGTTCATTTGTTTGTCAACAGTTGGGTGAATGATATTTTTATTTATATTCATATTAATTTTTTTTGACATGATCGTTATTCAATGTCATGCATGTATAGATTGTAAACTATGATTGTGAATCTAAAATCTAATAAACGATGTGTTCTGTTTTGTTCTGTTTAATGTCGTATTTCTATGAAGTTAGGCTTGCGAATTACCTGGGATCAATTTACGTGGACCCCGTTTGTTTTTGTACCCTAATCACCCATTTCACTTTACATTATATTATAACGGATAACGGGGAATCCTCTTGTTCTTCAAGTCCATTCATTCTGAAATAAATAATTTCAATAACTATAACATGCAAATTCCTAGTTGTAATAGCTCAAAATAAAATAAAAAACGCATATTGAAAAGAACAACAATTTTTTTACATTATACATATATTTGTGTGATACACGTGTTTCAATATCTAACCTGAAGGCAATTATTCACCATATCTATCTCATATTTAAAAGGATATGAGACGTAATGTGATGCAAGCCTGTGTTACTTTTCACTGGTGAACTCTATGAAGCCATTTAAGTAGTTTGGAACCCTTTCTTTGTTCTTTTTAACCCATTCAATACACGTTTAATGAAGATTCAAAAACTATATTGACATATCACAATGCTGTTGTTTTTGAGGAAAAAAACTCTACTGGTATATAACAGTTGAGGTCTTTTTGCACTTGTCATATATCAAAGCAGTGTTTTTTTACAATCAAACATTCCCAGTAGCCAAAAAAATCAACTTAGATTAATTAGCTGGTAGATCTACTGGTTCACTTTATTTTTATCATCATTATTATTACATGTATTTACATTTGAAGCAAACGGGAAAGGGCACAAAAGAGGGAAAAGCACTGAACTTGGTATTTTTTTGCTGATTTCTGTTACAAAAAAATATGAAATATCCTCGTAACTAAGTAACTCGTTTCGTTTCTGAAATCATATACTAAAAAATTTACTTATATGTGCAGCATGC